CCCGGTCGCCTTGACGTGCACCTCGCGCTGCCGCTGCCGACCGCGGAGGAGCTGCGCCGCCACGTTGTGCGGCGGCTGGTGGAGTGCATGGCGGAGTTTGACGACGCGGCGGCGGACGTGGTGGCGGAGGTTGCTGATGCGCACGTGGCGTGTTGGGTTGGGAGTGGGAGGGCCTCTGCTGCTGAGGCGAATGCATTTGTGCGTGAGGTTATGCTGCACGTGGTGGAGGGCCCGCCCGGTGCGGCGGTGGAGCGACTACGGGAGGGACTCACCGCTGTAGCACCCTTGTAAGCGCGTGCAGCCCCCTGCCATTTCCGGTCTTTATTTGTCTCCGTGTGCCTTTTGGGGCTGCTCTTTCTGTTCTGCTGTTGCTGCTGCGGATGATGGCGCTGGCTCGGTGGCTCCATGTTTCTTGTGCGTTTGCCTGCTGTTCTCAATTTGTCAGTTGTGAAGAGCAGTGGCTCGGCAGTGAAGCACACACACACACACATATATATATATATATAGATAGAGTGAGGGGGGGAGGGAGAGAGTGCCTTGAGAGCCGGTGTACCACGCGCGGATGACGTCGCTGCAGCGCACCGTAGCGGAGGAGTCACGGCTGCGCACGCGGCTGGCGGCGCGCTACCAGCAGGTGGTGTGCGCCTTCCAGGACGGTGTGCGAGAGTTTAATAAGCAGCTTGACGAGGCGCAGGTGCAGCAGCTGGAGGAACTCAAGGCGTTCCTGCAGCGTAGCCACAGCGAGTGCGAGGAGGCGCTGCAACTGGAGGCGCAGCTGGTGACTACACACAAAAATTACCTCGATGGGTACGCAGTGAGTGGCGGTGGTAGTGACGCCGATGACGCGGTGCTGGAGCCCTTCACTGACTACTACCACAAGGTGGAGGTGTGCATCAGCGACAGCACCGACCGCATGCGTGCCAGCCGCCGCCGCCTGCTGCAGATGTGCGCGGCGGTGAAGAGCCAGTACGATATACGGCTGCGCGCCATTGACGCGTGCGACGACGCGATGGAGGTGCGTGAGAAGGAGCGGCGTGAGCGGCTGAAGCAGATGCTCGCGGAGTTGGTGGAGGCACTGACAAAGATTGGTTACACGAGCATCAGCGGATCCCACGTGCTGGCGCAGCGGTCGATTTGCACCGTCAACGAGCATCTCTGCAGGAGCCACGCCGGGCGCAAGACGGTGCTGTCGCAGCTGCGGATCCGCGAGGTTCTGCGGCAGCGGCAGTACAGCAGGCGCCTCGCCGATGTGTACGGTGCGTCCCTTGAGCTCATGGCGCGCAGCAGCGTGCTGTGGGCGAGAACGCTGCTGCGCACTGCGCACTTCCGCCGTCCGTCGTGCCGCGTGCAGGCGGTTGGGCGCGTCGGTCAATTGGTCGCCGCCGTGTGCCGCGACGGGATGCATTTCCTGGAGAACATGGCAACAACGGTGCAGTCAC